AGGAGAGAATGAAAGGTCATTTTGATCATTTACGGGTTTTGGTTTAAAATCGATTGAGTTTCGAATTCGGTTGGTACAACTTGGGGCACTTCTAATTAGTAACCGCTTTAACTGGCAGCAGCAATTATTGCACGGAGGTAATTACAATTTTAATTGAATGCGGCGAACAATAATCCCGATCACAAATTGGCCACGTCGTTTCAAACAACGATCGCAAATTGGTCACTAAATTGGTCGTTGAGGTCAAAATGTACCAAAATAATCATTTAAATCGATATTAAAACGATTTATGTAATTAGAAAATTATAATAATCTCGTTATGTCCAGTTTATAAATAGATGGTAAAAGGAAAAGTCACGTTCCGTAAGTCGGAGTTACGCGTGAACGGTTTTAATACATTTTCTTGTGTACGCGGAAAACGGTTTCACGAGGAAATGAAAAGTTACGCTGGCCATATGTTACTTCTACATTTATCAGGTTAATTAATTTCTTAATAAATTTGAATTGATTTTTAGGTAGTTACTTTGCCGAAATGACCCATCACATTTATTATTTGTGTTGTTTCCTGAGGGGGGTACTAAAGTACGAAATTGGGGTCTTATATCAAGTGGAGCACGTCTTGTTTCGATGTTTTTACGATTCGAGATTTAATGAGAGTGCCTCCTGCGCTCTTCCAAGATTTTTCGTCGCGTGTAAACAAAATTTCTAAGAAGTACCACGAAATAATAAAATAATAAGAATATTAAACGGTAAGAACGATATTATTTACATTTGAATTAATAGTCCATTTTAGTAATTAAAGGAGATTTCAATAAGATCCCAAAAACTCGTAGGGAAGAGTTTATAAACTTCCCGGTTTGAGATATTTGTAATATTAGCAATTCAAATCGTACTTGCAACCAATGGAGTTCCAATAAAGAGGACGAGGAGTGCCGATTCGGTTACATTGCCACTTTCCAATTCCGATTAGTTCGACAACGGTTTTATTAAAACCGTCCCATTCAATTAAATTGAACCAATAATCTCGCATTGAATGTGCGAAATAAATTCTTTTATTTATTTTTGAAGGTTAAGAAAGAATAATAAAAGAGTACATTGTAAAAACTGGTGGGGTGCTCAATTTAAATTCCACCTGCGCGCAATAAAAATTCACTCGCTCCGAGTTCACAACCAAAAATATCCCAAAAGAACTATAAAATTCGCGCATTAAGTTCGTTTACCTTTCTTCCAAAAAATTTTCAAAAATAAAAACATCAAAAACTTTACAAAACAAGTTTTTTTCAAATCATTAAAAATTAATAGCGAAATTCTTGGTGGTTTTTTGTTGACCCGTCACTCAAAACACAGTTACAAAGCAGTCGAATTTAACGCCCTTGCTGTCAAATTAAATGACCGTACCGTAAAGTTAAAGAAGAACGGAGCAAAAAAGGGTGGAAAAAGAAATAAAAGGATTAAAAAAAAAAAAAGTTAAAATGATATCACGCACCTGCATGCCGACTTCTTCGTCTTCTCCTTCTTCATTGAGTTCAACAAACTATATACGAAAAATAAAGCAAATAAAGTGAATAAAGAAAACGTCGAAAAGATGAAAGAGAAAGAGGCGAAGATGGGAATGTAAATAGATAGGAAGAGGAAAAGAATAAAAAAAGAATAAGAAAAACAAGAATGAAGTCGGAGATGAGGTAAAGAACGTAAAATGAGAAGAAGGAAGAGGGAGAAAAGTCGGAATGAAGAATCCAGATGACATAAGTATGAAATATTCGCGGTGAGGGCTCCGCGGGCGGGCCGAAAATCCCAATTAAACGAGCCCTGCATTAAAGGCCCATGTTTTATTGGACAACACACGCTACGGTGAACCTGTATAAATCGGTAGATTACGTCCTGAACAAATGAAATATTTATACGCTTTTACAATCGCGCGATTTTACGCTCTATTTACTCATACTTTATTACGTTTATTCATGCTATTCTCCCATAAAATCAAAAAAAATATATATATGTATAGGGTTTTATTGAAAAATGCTTGCTACAATAATTTCAACATGAATTGAAACACAAAAAACAAATTTGTTTAATAAATTAATAATTAAACTTTAGTAATCAAGTACGAAGAAAGCGGTAAATTACACTTTGTTCTAATAAATTCTAGTAAAAAACGCATTTGATATATTGCCTCGGTAGCACAACTGTCTCAACAATTAAATAACACAATCGAATTAAAAAATATAACTAAATATCGAGCTCTGCACTCCAACACACTCAATTACTTCGGCAGCACCTTTGTCTCGGGTTAATGGCTTCTAATATATTTAGAATAAGAAAAAGGTGTTAATATCATTTTATATTCGTGCGTACACCTCTATCTTGGTTGTTTTCGTATTAAAATCAAGTATGCCCCATTAAATTCTTCAACCAGTGCCTCAACAGCATAGCTGTATATTAAACATATTAATTCTAAAAAACATAATATATTCCTTTGTAAATATTTGAGCTACTACCTCGGCAGCATAGCTGCCTCGGTTTATAATAAATACATAAATTCTCAACAAAATAATCTATTTATAGCTTTGTCAATTCTTGAACCACTACCTCAGCAGCATAGCTGCTTCGGCTTATAATAAACATATTAATTCCGAAAGAGATACATTACTTTGTAAATACTTGAGCCACTACCTCGGCAGTATAGTTGCCTCGGCTTAATTCATTTTTAATTTAATGTTTGAAATTGATGGATATAACTATCTGAAATGTATTGGAAAATAAAATAATAAACCTCTAAAAGTTATTTTGAAGTTTCAAAATCAAAACAGGAAACAAAGACCGGAACTATGCACGGAATGGCAACCAACAATTCGAGATTGAGCGATAAATATCAAGTCAACCGAGTTATTGTACCCCTCTAGCGACGTAAACGTATTATCCTACCGTCAGGATCCTTTGAAAGGCCCTATATTATCATTTGCGGTCCCACGAAAACGATTTATTACTACCATAGGTGTCAACATGGCGAGTGTTGTTTTAAGTTTAACGCAACCTCACAGAATCCCCATTTATTAACAATAAATAAACTCCCTCTCTTTCTATGTTTTGGTTTGTGGGTACGTATTTTCTCTTGTTCTACTCTGTAGTTTGAGAATAATAAACGTTTGTCGTGACGTCCACTGCAGGACCAACGCTGCTGCTGCGAAACTGTAGTTGTTATCGATTTGGTTACACTTGCCAAGAAGTTCTACGTTTATCCTCTAAAAAAAATAGTAATAAAAAGTTTAGATACGAAATGGGAACGACAATGACTTTATTTTTCTTATTATTTTTCTATTAAAGTATTGATTTATTTTATTCTTCTTCTCATTTACATAGAAAACTAAGAGCGCCTCGAATACGATTCCTTTTTATTCTGATTTACCTGAAAAAAAAACAATCTTAACGAGTTTCTACGACGACAGCAAAAGACAGGAACGATTCGGAGAGTTGACCGGAGCAATTTGTATACAGTCGCCGGTACACGACGACGAAGAGAGCTACCAGCTTATTATTTCTCCCCGGGTTTTATTTGATCTCCGCGCCGCCTAATATGAATACAATGACCTTCTTTCTCATTACGACGTCATATAAATATCGCCGCAAATTGCTTTATTGTAAACGTACGAAGAACGTAAACTGCGACTATCACAATGGGTCGAAAGAAGCACCCAACTCTTTATCTTGATGAATTCGATTTATTAGATTCGAAACGTATCGTTTTTACCACGTAATAAGACAATTTTATACTAACAAGGTTGATAAAAAAATCAATAACTAACAGGAAATTCCTTCACCAAGAAATTCCCCCGAGATTAGAAGTTTGTAAACAACTCTCTGGTTGTAAATACAAGAGAAAAAGTGGTCGATTACTTCAAAGCTACTCAAAAAGATCCTTTATTTTATTTTATTTAACCTATAAATGTTGTTGGGTTATAATGAAGATCTTCTATATGTTCTGCATTTTCAACATCATCAAACAAATCGGTATCTTCCTCAATAACACTAATATTATCATCACTAATATAGCTCGAACTTTTATCGCTTGTTTCTAATTCAGGTATCCAACACTCTTCGTCGTTTCCAGCTTCAATGACTTTATCCTCAATCTTTAATGTGTTACTCCAACTCACCGATTTTAAGGTTTTCAAAGAACTCGAACGTTTCGTTGTAGATTTTATATTAAGATTAGTCTCCACGGATCTATTCTCGGTTATAACACGTTCCGTCATTATTGATTTATCTTTTAAAAATTGTAGGCTTAATTTTACTAATTCCGAATCGCTTAATGCTTTTCCTATATATTTTATATTTCCCATTTTAATTTAATTTTTGACTTTGAAGTTTCTTTTTATTGTTTTTATTATGACATAATAATTATAATGTCAAATTTGATTAATTAAAATAAGTTGTGGCAACTTTTTAAAAATTAAATTAATAATAAATTGTTGATTTCATTTAGTGAATTAACTCCAAATACCAATTTCCATTTATTATTATTACTTTATTAATTTCCTCTTTAAGAATTAGAAGTAATTAATAAAATACAAATAATAATAAAAATTTAATCACTATAACTCCATCTATTATGAAAAGCGAAACTATCTCACAAATTAAAAATATTTTGATACCTTAATAAAAATTGATGATTTTTCATTTAATTTTCTTATTTCTTAATTTATTATTATTAAGGTATGATATATATGAATAAAATCTAATTAATAAAAAAATCCGTTCGGAATATTCTCCATCTATTACGTAAAAGCGGAACTACGTTGTATTGTAACTTTCATCTTTATAACATAATTTTTCTTATTTAATGCATAAACAAAATTAAATTTTAAAAATTAATGATTCTTGAATATAATAATATAATTTTGTTGATAAATTATAATTTTATTTAAGTATATTACATATAAATTAATTAGTGCCATCTTTGAAGTAAAGCACCAAACAACTTTATGTCAAATTACTTAAACATTGTTGAAATTGAACGTTTACAATGTCGTTTTAAATTTTCGTTTAGGTTAACATAAAAACCGCCTATTTGTATTAAAACCTTAAAGAGAATTTAAATAAAGGTGAGTTTAATATCAACGTACACCTTTTACTGTAATTTTGAATTTGGCGGTTGTTGCGTAACTTGGTAACTTTTCACGTTTTGCTTGCGTTAGTAGTCAGTTTATTAAAATCACCAAATACAACTGTTGTCTAACTGCCGTATCCGTTGGATTTATACCGAAAAAACGTATAATGTTAGTTATTTCGTTTAAATACAATCAAATTACGTTTCCGACATAAACCAAGGATTGAAATTAGAACCGTTAAAACACCAAAAATATATCGTGATAAAACGATATCACACATGTAAGTAGTACGTTTAAGTTAATAATATGTTCGGTTCCGCCTTTCGTTTTTGGGTATTAATATAAATATTCGTTAGGTTCGCTCAGGAAGATGTCAAGTCCAGAAAATGACGACACACTCGGATACGATTCATTTGACGAATTATTCAAAACGCAATTCAATACCCGAATTACCCCCTCGTATCTATTGAAACGGAAGCGCAGCAACGAGGAATACTCGCCTAATAAACGATCGGCAAGTGAAACGCTGGATATGTTGAACGGTTATCGAACAGACCATCACAGAGACACGAGTGACAGCAATGCTGAAACACCGGTGGCCCCATTAGCGAACATGGGTAATACATGCTTCCTAAACAGTGTCATTTACTCTTTAAGATTTGCGCCGACATTTTTACATAATTTACATCATTTAATTGATGATCTATCGAAAGTAAATGCTAGATTAAACTTGAATAAAGCAAAAAGTTCTTCATTGGGTAGAAGTGCGGGCCCAATTTCAGGACCAAGTTCACGTAGTACAAGTAGTAAGGATCTATTATCATTGGGTATTAATGACTCTGTAGTATCCAAACCGAAAGTGCAAATTGTGACTGAAAAGTTTCACGAATTGTTTATGACATTGCACAATTTGGAAGAGATTCGCAGGAAAGAACCGTTCGATCCCTTTCAACCTGTCGCATTTTTACAAGCAATCCGAGACGCAAATTACATTTTCGAAGGAAATCACCAACAAGATGCGCACGAACTGTTAGTTTATCTCCTAGATAATATCCGAGAAACATGCGATTTATTGGAAGTACAGATTCAAAATCACCCGGAAATTATTGCGATCGAACAACCACATCATGTTAGTACCCCTAATACCAAACTCTGGAACATGAAAAAACCATGGAGTAAAACTCAAAAGAAGAAAGATAAAGCTAAAGAATCAATTAGCGAAGATCAACCACTGACTGATGCCGAAGATGCTAATTCCGTCGATGGAAATTTTGAAAATGGTAAAAATTAAATGAATTGTTTTTAAATTATTAATTTTTTAATTCCAGCAAAAAAGAAAATGAGTTCTAATTTCGTGGCGGAAGATTTCGAGGGTGTAACATTAAGAAGAACGAAATGTCTCGAATGCGAATGCGTCACGGAAATAAAAGAACCATTCTATGATATTCCTGTTCCAATTTTAACCGCCGACGATGATTTCGATCGCGATCCTTGCGAAGTTTTCCGGCGCGCTTGCGTCACAATGGAAAAATTATGCGATACAAACAAGTACCTATGCGACACTTGTATGCGTTACAACGAGGCTAGGCGAGAAGTTTCTTTCGAAAAATTACCAAATATTATGGTACTCCAATTAAAACGATTCACAACGACATCATCAGGTTTACAAAAAGTGAATTCTTATATGCCTACACCGTTGGAAATGTCATGTTTTTGCGATACATGTTGCAGAACGCCCGAAAATGAAGAAACTCCGCATCGATATCAATTATTTGTGGTTATAATGCATTTAGGTACTTTGGCTTCGGGTCATTATATAAGCTACGTTCGTGCTACGGATCCCTGTACGGATTACGCGGATTGTTCGCGTGATAATCCGGGGAAACATTTATCATCGAGCGGTAGTGAGAAATCATTAAATTTATTGAAATTATTTAAAAAGGAAAATTTAAAAAACGGTAGCCCCGGAAATAAAGCCGGAAACGTTCATCAATGCGTGCGTTATTGTAATAGTCAAAACTGCTGCGGCGTGAAAATGAACACGAATACCGTGAACGGTTTTGTGAGACGTAATTTGGGAGGTGAATTGTGGAAGGATTCTAGAGACATTTGGTTAGAATGCGACGATGAAAATATTAGGCCGGTTACTAGTCAGGAGTTGACGGATTTACTCGGTTATAAACCGAATTCAACTTCCACGCCGTACTTATTATTTTATTCAAAAATGCACCATCGCGTTGACGAACAACAACAATCCCCCATAACATATTCCGAAGGGTGAAGAATTCGTTTTTTTCCGTTTTTTTGCGTTTTTTTTTTGTTTTTGTTTTTCATTTCAAGTACAAAATAGTGATTTGTTTGTGATAAAAGAGATGAATTAAGTGGATAATTACTTAATAACAAAAAAGGAAAGAAAAAGAAATAAGTACACCGAAATTTGGTGGTTATTAACCATAATAATTATTACTGTAACTTATAATTCGGATAAACAAAAAGAAAAGGTGTTGATTATGAAAAATAAAAAAGAAATAGTCTATTATTATAAATAACTATAAAGGAGTAATCAGGTTTGATAAACTTGCCGAATTTATTTGTATTCTATAAAATATGGTTTACAGATATTTTTATTAATAATAATAAAAGTATCTATAAATGATTTTTATGTTATTAGATTTATTTTAGGAACATTAAAATACGCAAAATGTTTCCTAATATCTATTATTTAATAATTTTTTGAATTTATGTTTAACGAATTTAATACAAATTATAACGTTATAGAAATAGGTAAGAGTACAGAAATGATAAAAAAAATTTTAAAAACTTTTATTTATGTTGATGAAAAATAATTAAAATACTCTGTACTCCCCCACCCCCATAATAGAAATTATAACAGTATTATAATACTTTAGGGAGAAATGGGTATGGAAAAAATCAACAGAATGATATCAAATATACATTTTGTTTTTTCTTACTTCTACCCTTTGGTTGTTAATCATTTCGTCGCTTATCTAAAAAATCACGTTTTAAAACGTGTTATTTCCTTATATTCTTATATTATTTTGTTCGTTGTTTAAAAAAACAGTATCATCAGCAATACCGTTTAATTATTTTGTTTAACGTTAAATAAATTCTGTTTTCAATTTATTTGATGTGTTTTATTTCTGTTAAGATAAGCCTAAACTTATATCCTATATCCAAGATGTTACTATTTACATCAGTACCAATAGATTATTACATAGATTGTTATCTCATGTTGGCAAAAGACCAAAGAAGGTTGTACCCAAGGACCGCAGAATCTAAGAAGACAAATCCTAGAAACAACAAAAAAGTTTTAGGATACTTTCATCTACCTATGTAACATTTTTCTAATGTATTTATCATCTGCATAAAAAAAATTTTAGCAAAAAGGTAAAGGAGGTGGTTACGTTTAAATTTCATTTTCCTACCTTTTATGGTTTTCGAGGAAAAAAAAACTAACAATAAACCAAAATTTTTCGCCATTTTTGGAGAGCTTCTTAGGGGAGCCGAAGTCGCCCATGGTTCATATATTAAAGTACCCTTAAAATTCACTAAAGAATCAGCCCTTGAAGTTTGTTGCAGTCATTCAGATATATCCCGTATATAAAAAAGTACTATACTCTGTTTTTAAACCAGGAAGAGTAAACGCGAAAGTCTGATTTACACTAGGAAAAATCACCAGAAAATATCACTAAATATTTTGGCGGTAAATTTAAATTAATTATTATTATTTATTTATTTACTTATTATTGTATTTATTTTCGTTTGTTATCGTCAACACTAAATATACAAACTAACATTGAAGTTATGAGTGTATTTATTTTAAAATATAATAAAGAAGGGTTTAAGAACACAAAATTTACAACAATGACACGAAACGGTCGAACGATCAACAACCTAACCTTCAAATTTAAAATCAAAATTCAAAATTGTATGTGTGTGAACCTTCCTCGCATTCAATTTTGAAATAAATACACTCATAACTTCAATGTTAATTTGTATGTTTAGTGTTGACGATAACAAACGAAAATAAATACAATAATAAGTAAATAAATAAATAATAATAATTATTAATTTAAATTTACCGCCAAAATATCTAGTGATATTTTCTGGTGATTTTTCCTAGTGTAAATCTGACTTTCGCGTTTACTCCTCCTGGTTTAAAAACAGAGTATA